CTTAGCTATCTGCTGCTGCAGTTAGAGCAGTATAAGTACAGAGTGTGTATTTGTGCAATTGTATGAGTATATGTTTATATATTTGACTTTGTGTGTATGCATATGAGCAAAGTACATAGAGGGTTAAGACTGTCTATGTGCTCTGAACATTCACTGACAGCTAACAATTAGCTGCCGCCAGCGTGGCTAATAGAGGAGTGTACATTGTTAATTATGTCACAGCAGAGAGGTGGGAAGGTGGAATACATTTGAATAATGGGAGGAATGATATAACAGAGGGCTTTTAAATTCCTCTGCCCTTTTGTATGTGTAATCAAGGGTGTCTGTGGGTGCTTGTGTCCACTCAGACCCAAGGGGCTGTCAAACATTCATAATGATATAACAAATGCACACATTTAGCATGGCCCTCACACACACAAACATCCTCTCTGTCTTTCTCTCCCTACCTTACACAAACGGTAACAGTGGGAGGCGTGAGTGACAGAGGGTCCGTCTAAGTAGTGCGCTTGTGCCTGGTTTTCCAGATCAATGATGTGTGGCTGGGTGATCGATGTGAGGGCTTAGCGGAGTGGAGAGAGCTAATGGGCAGGTCAGTGGCTCAGACACATCCTGGCTCCCCCTGCCTATTACCACTACGTCTGTTAATAGGCCTCACCACACTCCCCTGTTGCTCTCTCTCTCTCACACACACACACACACACACACACACACACACACACACACACACACACACACACACACACACACACACACACACACACACACACACACACACACACACACACACACACACACACACACACACACACACAAGCACACAAGCTTGGATAGGGAGGAGGGAACACAGCCAGGCTCAATTCACAGCCCTACTCCTTGTTTTAACCCTTGGCTCTTCCACACATTTTTTCTCTAGTTTCTTGTTCTGTTTTTTGCCCTTTGACCTGTTTTTTTTACAGCAAGCCTTTGGAGCTACACCATATGGTGATGCATATGTATGTATGTAAATGTGGGGTGGGGCAGATAAGCACCATATTTAGAGCCATGTAAAGTAAATATGAAAGAGATTACTCTGCAACTCTCATTTAATCTCCTCAAAGTCTGGGTCTGAAGACAGCCCATCCCCTGCATTTCTAATTGGCTGAAGGATACGTACAGGTTGTGATTGGTCCTGTGTGGCTTTCAGTCAGGAGGTGTCTGGTGGTGTTTGGATGTGAGGCTGGGGTCTGGGTTAAAGGGTCAGGCAATGAACTGCTATGTATCTCTAATGGGACTGTATTAGATGTTGTTGGTGCTTTGTTTGTTTGCAAATCTGCAGTCCAAAAGCACTAAATGTATGATTATATATTGTATATTTACAATACTTTCAGAATATATTATAGTCTACTTGTCGTTTTGGTAAAATAACTTGAAATGTTATATGCTAAAACCTTATGGGAATGTCTATTTGGTTGAGCTTTTGTTTTAGGATGTATGTGTTATACATATGGGCAGACATCATTCAGGTAGTAAATTCATGAGTTTATTCAACTGTTTTATTTTAACACAGAAATTAGCTAAACATATGTTTGAGATTGCAGTTTTGTTGCAGGGACATTGTATTGAATTGCATTCGATTTAAAAATAATTGGCAACAATTGTTCTATTAGTTTAAGCCATTTTGTATTGAAATTAATCAAGAAAATAATCACCCGATTAATTCGTAATGAAAATGATCGTTAGCTGCAGCTTCCTTTCTGCTGTTATACTGACCCCATTATTCATATGTGTAGGGCAGCTGGGCACAGCTGTGTGTTAACACATGGATGACAGCAAGTCAGTCAGCAAGGTGAAAAAGCAGTGCAGGACATCACTCATCCTTGTTATCGCTCACTTTTCTTACTCCCTCCTTACATCCAACCCTCTCTCTCTCTTTCTTGCTTAACCTGTCACTTTGAGCATCCCTCTTCTCTTCCTTCTGGCATCTGATCTGCATGTTAATTACCTCTGTCGCTTTCGTTTAATATTTGCCTGAGAAGGATGTGACACACACCCCAGAGGTATGCCCTGCATCCCTCACTCACACAAGCACACACACATGTACATACACACAGCCTGTTGTTTTTTTAGTTCTGGGTTTATGCTTAGATTGCTGGTTTGCTAAGATGTTGTGTGGGTGATGGAGGTAGGGAGCAAAGCCTATAGTCTGCATACAATAGTAAAAGGGGCCATATGTTTACAAGGGGGGCTGAATTATTTTCTAACCCATCCCCTCTGAATGTGTATCCCCATGGCGAAAGCTAAAAGCGCTGCCACTTGTCGTCCACATAATGGAGGAAAGGCAGGAGGTGGGGGCAGTTTGTGCCATTTGCCTTTGAGAGGAGCAATGGAGTTCAAAAAGGAGGTTAAAGAGCCATTCTTTGAAGATGCCGAGGGGGAGGAAAGCGGCATGCTTTCACAGTGCTGGGCAATGTATTCATCAGACTCCATCATCAAAGTGAATACGTACATTTTACTAGGAAGATCTGGAATGAGTTGCAGGTTGACAAGGTGTGTGATTCCATCATAGCTCTAATAATTAGAACCATTTTTAATACAATCTCTCCAACACTCACGCTTTCTTTCTCAGCAACAAGGCTGTGTCTCTGTTGGCTGATAGATATAATGAATTTAACAGCAGTCAGATCCTTCAAAAGCCTCTCAAAAGCTTAAGCCCCTTTATTAAATTAAGCTAACGATGCCTAAGGCCAGGTCCGCTGCTGAGAGGGAAAGAGAGAAGGAGGGAAAGAGAGAGAAAGATGAGGGGTAGAGAGAGGGAGAGATTTGGGAGGGGAAGGCTGCAGAGATAAGGAGACGGGGGAGAAGGCAATGATAGAAACAAGGATGTGAAATGGCCAGTAGTCAAATGTGAATGGTCGGAATGGGGTTTAGTATCAAAGAAAGAAGGTGGAGGAGGTAAAGGAGAGAAGGAGGAGAAGAGGAATACCCTGCAGCCTCCCAAAGCTGCACAGTGCTGCACCTGCGGCTGAGAAGAGGAATAGCAATCAGGCAAAGGCTCGTTGTGGGAGATTCACAGCGCAAATGTGTAGTTTTAAAAGTATGTAATGAAAACATAAATGTTTAACTATTCTGTTGAGTTTTAAAATGGGTTAAAGCTTTTATCAGACTTTTTATGGTAATGACATTGTGTGATAAAAGCTGAATCCTTGTCTTTATTTAGAGTGGGTAGGAAAGTGGCACAGTGTATACAGTTTATTTTAGAATATGTATCGATGCAATGTTTTAAAGCATATTCACCAGTGATGAACATCATGTTGAGCTTGTGTCTCCAGTTGGGGCTGCCTTTCACCCAAAAAATAATTAGGCATTTGTTGACCAGTTTATTGGGTGGTTTACTAATCAAATAACAGTTTTCCTGTATTTATGCGGAGGGATCTAGTGCTTACCAAAACATATTTGTGACTATTATTGTGATGCCAAATATAATTATCTGGTAACGACATATCCCTAATAGCAATGACTAATCACCAGAAATGACTAAAGACTAAGAGCTCATTAGTGATCAGTGATAAAAAGACCATAGAAAATGACTAATTGACTAAAAACATTAAGTCAACCAAGACATTTAAATACCCAAATGAGAGATTATTTGACTAATTGAACAGAAGGGGGCTGCGTTGCTGTTTAGAGATCTGTCCTGGGGGTAGCATGTGTACAGACAGCAGGCAGATCAAAGGCTGAGGTCTCCGTGCTGCATCGTTAGTCAGATACCTCGTCTACCTGCTCTCTCTCACTCTTTCTCTCAGGTCAAGTAGAGGTGAGGGATACACTATCATTCAGATGAAAGACACGACACACAGGCATTATCCTGAACTGCAGAAATACATCTTTGCACACTCACGCACACAACATTCACTCTCTCATGAGGGTCATGGCGCCTAACGAGCATCACTGTGTTTGTTGGGCTTTGTCTCTTTTCTATTGCTCTCATGTTCTCTCAGTGTGTAGAAGAAGGCTAAGACACATCATTTATCATTAGGCTTGTGTTTGATCCAATGCATTGCAGCAGTAAGCGAATTACAAATTGTTAGAAGGGCCTCATCCTCCGCTTCCTCCCCAGCAATCACCTGCTTAATCCTTATTTTCATCCTCAGTGTTGGGAGCACACCCTGTCTTTACCGACTATAAGCTTGGCTTTGATTGTACAGCCTGTGCAGTGGCTGGTATCTAATCCACAGTGAAACCGTTGATAAGCTAGACAGAGAGAGAGGTTGTCAGCTGGGGCTTCTCTGTGCTTTTGGTGGGTGGCTGTCCCCTTGTGGACACTTGATGGAATTACTCTCTCCTTTTTGTAAACCTACTGTATACAGTATGGTCATGCAATATTAGTAGCAAAACAAAAGGGTCCTTTTCCTTAATATCTGTAACTAATTTGAAACTGTTTATCCAGATTTATGAGTGAGAACTAACATGTCACAAGACCTAGCCTCACATGCTTTTAGGGATAACTAATCTACTATTATGGGTTGGATGTATTATTGTAAAAATACTATAACGTACAGCAAGTTTAGTATATACACACCACTAAGGACACATACACTATCATTTCATATAGGGAATGTGTTAGTGTTTCTTTATGGAGTTGGCATTTCATTAGAAAGACAATCCCTGTTGAGAAAATACAACATAGCATATTTAAAATAATTGATGTCAAACAAAATATAATTCGGCAATGCTCAATCAAATGAACCACGTTTTATTTTAGAATAATAGATAACATTGCTATTGATATTGTCTCCACTCATCTGTCTCAGAGAACTTGTAGATATAGGGTAGTGGCAGATTTTGGGTTATGTTGATGAACAGGAAGTGACTTTCTCTGTCCTGGTTGGGGATGGACGGGACATTCTTTATCCTATTGCGGGGACAATGCGGGGTCAGCCCTGTGGACTGGAGGCGTGACGGGGGGAGCAGGTGCTTCTACCCCCCGCCCCCTTCAGGCTGGTCTGTCTGTCTGTCCGGCCCCCGCCGGAGAGGAAGCTCCACCTCCCGGCTCCAGCAGCCGGCCGCCTCTCTCCTCCTCTCCCCGGCTCTGCTCCGTCCCTGTGGCCTCGCTAGGCGTCCGAGCTTCCTGCGTGACAACAAAAGTGCAGACTCTCTGTTCTCGACGGAGGGATGGATCCGCGCTTTCACCGCTAACGGAGGGAGAGATTTACTCATTTATAAACACTGGATTAGCCCTACTTGTTTGCGGTGAGTGACTCTTGAGTAAATCTGTAGTTGTGTTTTCAAACCCGGAGGTTGTTGGTGTAAACGAACGAGCATACGGCGAGGGTTTTGTTGAGGAAGTAATTACGATATCAAGGAAACGGGTGCTGTTAGTTTTTTCCCCTTTTTTTCGAAGGTCGGTGGCGAGCCCTTGTGTACGCGGATGTGCGTGTGAGCTTTCGTGTGTGTGTGCTTTAGTGTGTGTGAAAAAGAGACGGAAAAAAGAGTCATTGCAACTAAAAAAGGAAAACTCCGCTGCGTTTAGTATGTTAGCTGTTTTTCTTGTTTAGTTTTTTTAATTAATTGTTTATATTCCGCCTTGTTAAATATTTTTAGGCAAGCTTTTTGAAAAAACAGATTAGCGTAAAGGTCTGAAAGGAATATCGGGCGACCTCCCACCCCTTCAAATTAACTTCTTGTAACATTGTTACTGGGGCGCTGTTGTGATTATTATGTAAGGCGCAGCCTCAGAGGGTTTCTGAGGAAGCCATTTACGCTCACTGATGCCCTTTATATACAATTATATTGTTGGCTTGACTTGGTTGGTAATTCGTGGTCTCCACCAGTCCTGCTGGCTCCTTCAAAATGATCGGAGAGCGTTTGGTTAGGACCGTTCCTCCAGAGCCTTCCTGAAAGGGGCTTTTTCTGCATAAATGTGACTGTGACTGCGATAGTGACACATGTTGACCATTTGGTGCTCTTAGGTGAAGTGTGTGTGTGCGTGCGTGTGTGCGCTCGTGTGTATGCGTGCGCGTGGCAGGTGGACCGTGTTGAATCACTTCCCACGCGCTCCTTCACTTCTCTTGAACTGCAGGCGCGTACAACAGCTGCTTCTGTAGAGAACACACACACTTAAGCACACAAACTCGCACGCACCACTCACCACGCTCATCACACACCTCTCGGGCTTAAAACACGGTCTACAAACACAGCCGTGAAGCAACAGGCTTTACTGAGCACGCTGTGCTGCGGGTTGAGTTTATCTGCAGCCAGAAGCTGGAGCCGCGTTGTGTGCTTTAGCTGCTGCTGATAAGGTTAGCCCTAACTGCAAGAGCAGGGAATTAGAGCCTCTGGTTTTTATAGTGACACTGTCCTACTGCTGTGTTCAACAGCGCCTGTCTAGAACTGGAAATAGGTCATTCATTACATTGGGCATAATGTCACCTATACTCCTTTATTATCTTACTATTACTTACATGGTTTACAGCCTGGACCAGAAATGCTCACAAAGGCACGAGGTTCAGAAGGGTTCTATGAGGGTTACACAGTTAACACAGGAAAACAATTGTTCTATTTCTCTTGTTGTTCACACTACTTGCTGTCCAAAAGAAAATCATTCAAAATAGTTTATAATTAGACATCAGATTGTGATCACCCAGGATGATTTGTGGCCAGTGCTTGATAAGGTGCAAGGTGTCAATACTGAATTTGAAATCATAAAAAAAAACGCCCTGCAAACAGACTTGTTTTGAATTGTGTGATTACAGGAATCTGAAAATATGTCACATGTATCTTGTGGTCAATCCCATGTGTGTTTTGATGTGCTGATCCAGATTAAGCCTTAGTGGATGCATGAGTGATTCAGTTGTATTAGGAATGTATCTTCTGAGCTATCACCTTTACCACTGATGGCAGCCAAAGTCGTTAGTGCACTATTAGCACTTCTTTACAGGAAACCCCTCACTGAACACACACACTTCTAGCATTTGACCCGTGACTGCTGTCACAGGTTTATCTCAAATGGCTTCCTTTTAGCAAAATTGCCACAAATCTTTGCATGTAATATTTTAATAGAAAAATCAATACAGTGTTTTAGAGAGTCAATACAGTGTCAGAAAAGTATATTGTGACACTAAAGTGTATCATACACGCCTATTTTTGCTATTCATGTGTTTCAGTTTGACTCGTCTGCTATTCTCGGCTATGTGTCTTTCTGACAACACACAGTAACCACAGCATACTGTGGTCATTTGTGATATGTTAAATAGCAAGAAGTTAACTGTATGCTTATTCTGAACCAAAACACAACTTCGCACAGTTTAGTTTGTTCCCCGACTGGACACAATGGAAAAACATACAATAATAGTGATTTTTTTATTTACTTATTTAAACTTGTTGCATTCTTGACAGACTCATCCAAATGATCACATAGAAATGGAAGAAAAAAACCTTCAAATATGTATGTGGCAGAGATCTCAGATTTGAATCTCTTCTGAAATGCAAAGAAGTGTTCTTTATATGTCAACCAAATGTCCTGAATATTACATGTTTTTCCAGTTCTTATTTACACAGACACACACTAAGCAACAGGAACACATCTTCCTTGGCAGAAGCTGTGAGCTAGCTGGGTCTTGGTGGATTTACCCTCCCTTGTCGCAGACTTACATGTGTCTGATGGTTCGGGACACGATACGACGAGTGTAAGATTATTCATGCAAATCTTGCTCTGAGGAACAACATTTCTCGCTTGTGATCTGCCATTTAAATGTTTTTGACGAACCCTTATACTGTGATAGTGCCTATCCTAGGCTGGCACATTTCAGGTGTCGTGGAGCTGTTTGTCATGCTGCGGGAGCCTGCAGTGCTGCGAGTGTCTGGGGGCTAGACGGCAGCTGTGTTGAGCAGAGTGTTGGTGACAGTTTGTCTGTGGCAACAGCACCTGGCTCTGTTTAGAGAGTGATTAGGAGAGTCCCAAGCAGCTCCCCATACTGTTTACACAAGGAGCCTGGAGTTAAAGGTGACCCACTTTGCATTTCCTTATCAACAGCCCCCATTGATAGCTTTGAATAGCACTGACTGTAAAGAGGCCTTTGCATAGGTTTACATAGTTTCCTATTAGAGAATGGGATGCGTTTGACTGGTCGAGGCTTAGATTTGACTACCATTACAACAATGTCCTGAGGCGGTATGAACATGTAGACACACACACACACCGCTCTCTTTTTGTGTCAGTGCAGGGTTGCTGTGTGTGTGTGTGTGTGTGTGTGTGTGTGTGTGTGTGTGTGTGTGTGTGTGTGTGTGTGTGTGTGTGTGTGTGTGTGTGTGTGTGTGTGTGTGTGTGTGTGTGTGTGTGTGTGTGTGTGTGTGTGGTGTGTGTGTGTGTGTGTGTGTGTGTGTGTGTGTGTGTGTGTGTGTGTGTGTGTGTGTGTGTGTGTGTGTGTGTGTGTGTGTGTGTGTGTGTGTGTGTGTGTGTGTGTGTGTGTGTGTGTGTGTGTGCGTGAAAAAAACTTGATATGCTGTTTAGGAAATACAGGTTCACCTCTCTCTCTCTTCATCCCTGTGTCTATTTCTCTCTCTCCTTCTTCTTCTGTCACCCTAGCTAGAAGGGATAGATTAAGTGTGAGTGATGTGTGTCAAGCGTCCTCCACTGGGTGTAAAAACAGGTTGTAAAGGTTAGCTGCAAATGTGATGCATTGAAGACAGCTGAACAAATAGGTCATGAAGTATTAATCTGATGGGAGGGTGAACAGACAGTTGAGAGGATATACCTGTACAGACAGACATGGTCACAGATAGAGGAAGACGTTTTATAATTAGAGCCAAACACTTTCTGTGGCTCATGACTTTTGTTCTCATGCCTACTGCTTTTTGCAACATAATCACTGATAATGCTTCTTATTACTTTGTGTGTGTATAAGTGTGTTTACTCTCCGTGTGTGAGGACAAGCCTAACCTGCTCTGTAAGCCAGGCCTGTGTACAGACACATGTCACCTTAATCTTTCACCACAAGGTATTGTATACGTGCGTGGGTGAGATATGTGTGATACTAGCTTTATAAGATGTTAAGGATATAGACTTAATTTGCCTGTCCCACACACACACACACACACACACACATACACACACACACACACACACACACACACACACACACACACACACACACGCACACACACTTGGTTACAGACCTCATAGATTTATAGAGAATTAATTGTACATGCAATAAAACGTTTTAGATATCACACAAAACAGTTGCCTTATCTCTAATGATAGCTGGGAAGAAGTATGTATCGTAAACAAGGGTTGGACTTCCCAATAGAAACTGCATTAAAGATTGCACAGTTAGTACAGTTAGTTCATATAACTGCTGTTGGTGACAAGTAGAACACTTTCGTGAGTGTAAATGAGAATATTAACCCTAATGTGTAGGTTCAAGTCTTCAGTAATTGATTGTCCCACTTTGCTTTCTCTTAAACACATCTCACACACTTTGTGTACATTGGACTTCGGGAAGTAGTAAACGCTAAAACGTGTTGTATAGCTTACATTACATGGGGAGTAAGTTCATATGGAGTTGTTGCTGAACATAAACAGCTCCTTTCACTCTCATATCTTCCTCAGTGGGTATAGATGGGTGTGGCAAGCAGATGTTAACAGGAGCCGTCACCTTGTTTGACCCTTTTCTCCACAGGAGCAGGATCATTTTTTTTCAACCTTAACATTTATTTCTTTACTTGAGCACTTCACAAAAAATCTTTCTCTTGACTAAGCTTGATCAAATCTTTTATTGTACTTCTTCCTCCACAGTTTGTAATTCAATCTTTTTGCATTTTTGTTTGCCTAACTTTTTTAGTGCCGTTAAAATGAATTGCTGAGTAGAGGCAGTCACGCTGACTTTGTGGTTATGAAATCCCATGCTTCAAGACCAATTCCATGAACTGCATGGGACACATACTGCTATCGTTTCCCTTGTGATTTAAGTTTGACAAGAGCACAGCACAGTGCTCGGCAGTGAGGGAGCTACCAGCAACCTTTTTCACAAAGTAAACCTTGTTTGTATTCTCAATGTTCACACAAAAAAGTCAGTCCTCCTACATCAGCATACAAAACCCTGTTCTAGATATCCTAAGATTATGAGTATGTTGTTGATGTTTGCTTCTGTCGTTTTCATACCCCAGGGCCTGATAAGCATTGGCCGAACAAACACAACACAGGCAATATGAGAGCAGTAGATAAGCAAATCATACACACACTCAATACTGAC